GCCCAGACTGGAGTGCAGTGGCCGCTCCTGGCCACCGCAGCCTTGACCTGCTGGGCTCGGCAATCCTTCCGCCTTAGCCTTCCAAGTAGCTGGCACTACAGGCGAGTGCTACCATGCCCGGCTCATTTTTTGATTTATTGTAGAGATGAGGTCTCGCCAAGTTGCCTAGGCGGGCCTTGAACCCGCGGGCTCAGGCAGTCCACTCACCTCAGCCTCCCAAAGGATAGGATTACAGACTGAGCCACAGAGTCTGGCTGGTTTTTGTTTTTTTTTTTTGAGTGTAGTCTCACTCTGTTGCCCAGACTGGAGTGCAGTGGTATGCTCCCGGCCACTGCAGCCTCAACCTGCTGGCCTCCGGAGATCCTTCTGCCTCAACCTTCCAAGTAGCTGGAACTACAGGCGAGCGCTACCATGCCCAGCTCATTTTTTGATTTATTGTAGAGATGAGGTCTCGCCAAGTTGCCTAGGCGGGTCTCGACCCCACGGGCTCAGGCAATCCACTCACCTCTGCCTCCCAAAGCGCTGGGATTGCAGGCTGAGCCACCGAACCCAGCTCTTTTTTCTTTTTTGAGTTGGGGGTCTCACTCTGTCGTCCAGGCTGGAGTGCAGTGGTGGAATCACAGCTCACTGCAGCCTCAACCTCCTGGCCTCAGGTAATCCTGTCTTTAACCTCCCAAGTTGCTGGGACTACAGCCTGTCTGCTTTAAAAAATTTTTATCTTATAGAGAAGTGTCTTCACTATGTTGCCCAGGCTGGTCTCGAACTCCTGGGCTATAGCAGCCCTTGCACCTTGGCCTCCTGAAGTCCTGGGATTACCGGCGCCAGCCACCAGTCCTGACCTGGGGGTTTTCAGTCTGTCCTGGGTTCTGAGGACCCAGCTGCAGTTGGTTGATTCATGTCTATTCTCGTTCCCTCCCCACCTTCAAAGCAGGATGTGTGGAAGTATTATTTCTGGGTAGTCAGAGTTGGTAGCAGAGGAAGAGGTGGGTCGCTTGAGTGGTGCAGACCCTGCGAGTTTACAGCCTGCTAGTAACACCCCTGGGTTGTCAGGTGTATGTCTGAAGTCTGCGGGCGTTTCCCCAAAATCCTTTGTCGGGTCTCTCTTATGGAAGGAACCTAGAAAGTCCATGGGGAAGCCAGAAAAGTTAGCAGGAGCCAAGAGAAAGATTAGAGACAGGACTCACCAGGGAGAGGTAGGTACTCCTTTAGAAGTGATTTGGCAAGTGGAGGCCGCATGGTGCAGAGACCAGAGTGCTGGACCGGGACTCCAGAGGCCTGGCTCCCATGACTGTTCACCTGCTTTGTGGCCCTGTGTTTTGGGAACGGTTTCTTTCTTTCTTGAGGCAGCTTTTGCCCTTGCTTAAGTAGGGGTGCTATCATTGGCTTTTCTCCTCACAGAGTAGCTGTGAGAATCAAATGTTACATGTGTTCATATGATGTAATGTGTTTTATATGTTGTGAAGAACAGCAGAGATGTAAAACAAAGCTTATGTGGTTTAGAAATGAGTACTATGGGTACATTTAATTGGCAAAGGTTTTAGGACAGATTGATAGAGAATACCTTTATAAATATTTTAAAAGACAAGGATAAAAACAGGTACAGAAATATTTAAGTATGTATCTTTTTTTAATTGAAATTAACTTGGTGTGACTGGATGCAGTGGCTGATGCCTGTAATCCCGGCACTTTGGAAATCCGAGGTGGGAGGATTACTTGAGGTCAGGAGTTTGAGACCAGCCTGGGCACCTTAGTGAGACCCCCATCTCTACAAATAATTTTGGTTTTTTGAGTCAGAGTCTCACTCTGTTGCCCAGGCTAGAGTGCAGTGGCACGTTCACGGCCACCCTAGCATTGATCTGCTGGTCTTAGGTGATCCTTCCCCCTCAGCCTTCCAAGTAGCCAGAACTACAGGTGTGTGCTACCACGTCTGGGTAATTTTTTGATATATGGTAGAGAAATGAGGTCTCACCAAATTGCCCAGGCTGGTCTTGAACCCTCGGGCTCAGGCTGTCCTTTTGCCTCGGCCTCCCAAAGTGCTGGGATTACAGGTTTGAGCCACCGTGCCTGGCCCTCTACAAATATTTTTTAAAAAATTAACTGGGCATGGTGTTGTGTTCCTATATTTTAAGCTGCTTGGGAGGCTGAGCCAGGAGGGTGAGGCTGCAGTGAGCCAAGATCATGCCACTGCACTCTAACCTGGGCAACAGAGAGAGATACTGTTTCAAAAAAAAAAAATGTCTATTTGAAAGCTTCTGTAAATGTATACACTTGAGAAGCCACTACCCCAATAAAATATTTTCGTCACCCTAGAAAGTTCTCTCTGAACTTCCAGACAATCTCCAGCCTCCTCCACCTCCCTGAGTGACTGCTGTTCTAATTTCTGTCCCCTTGTTTAATTTTGCCTGGTCTTCAACTTCACGTGGCTGGATGCTTCTGAGGTTCATCCATGTGTTGGTGTCTATCAGCGGTTCCTTCTCTTTTTACCCTTGGGGGTTTAGGTTCCTTCTGGTTTGGGGCTGTTAGGAGCAAAGCTCCTGTGATCTTTCTTGTAGAGGCTTTTTGTGGCTTTGTTTTTATTTCCATAAATACTTAGGAATAGAATAATCAGATTATAGGGTGGAAGTATGTGTACCCCTTTGCACTCGGAGACAACTCGCAGATCCCCTAACATCAACTCAACCGCACTTTTTTACAAAATAGTGAAAAACGAACCACTTCATATTAAATAGTGTTAGGACCAATTTTATTGTAATGATATTTGGCTTATAGTAGAATTTTGGATATTGAGTAACTTATTCATGACAAAAAAATAAAAATAGTCTCACTCTGGCGCCCAGGCTGGAGGGCAGTGGCATGCTCCTGGCCACCACAGCCTCTACCCACTGGACTCCGGCGATCCTTCTGCCTCAGCCTTCCAAGTAACTGGAACTATAGGCACGCGCTACCACGCCCAGCTAATTTTTTGATTTATTGTAGAGATGAGGTCTCACCAAGTTGTCCAGGCAGGTTTCGAACCTGCAGGCTCAGGCAATTCACTTACCTCAGCCTCCCAAAGCACGGGATTACAGGCTGAGCCACCGAGCCTGGCAATAAAAATTTTATGTCTTATATTTTTCTAACCTGTAACGTGTGAAATAGTCACATGCATTGCAGGTTCACTGATAACATGTTGTGCAATAGTAATTTGTCAGATGTCTTCTTCCTAGTGTTTTTCTCTTCCGGCAGACAATTCACTCTCATTTTCTTCCACCCACATTAATAATATGTAATTTATTGTAATTAATAATATGTAAATTATTGTAAATAATATGTAATTTATTGTTCAAAGATGATGTGGAAGGACATTCTCTTGCTACGTAATACCAGCTGATATTTTTTAAATGTATATCTCAGTATATGCCATCTCTTTATTTGCTTTTTTGTGCAATTTGGATGGAAAACTAAAGGAAACATATTTTTGAAAAATTTGTGCTGGCGTAAGTTTGTCCTGTATAATCAGCAGCAATCTCTTTACATCCTCTGAAAGGGGACATCTGAGTGGTTTGCTAGATTTCCGATGTCCCCTCTAAGGAAATCTAGGTGCAAAGGGTTAAGTTTATTTGCTTATTTATTTGTTTGAGTTGGAGTCTCACTCTGTCCCCCAGGCTGGAGTGCAGTGGCATGCCCACAGCTACCACAGCCTCTACTTGCTGGGCTTAGGTGATCTTCTGCCTCAGCCTTCCAAGTAACCAAAATTACAGGCAGGTGCCACAGCACCCGGCTGGTTTTTTTTTTTTTTTTTTTTTTTTGTAGAGATGTCTCACTAAGTTACCCAGGGTGGTCTCAAACCCCTGGACTCAGACAGTTCTTTTGCGTCTGCCTCCCAAAGTGCTGGGATTACAGGCGTGAGCCAGCACACCCAGCCTAAGTAGTTGACTTTATAAGAAACTGCCAGAATTTCTCCAAAGTGATTTCGCATTCCTCGGCATTGTGTGAAGATTCCAGGCACTCCAAATCTTTGCTGACATTTGGTCTTGTTAGTCCTTTTACCTTTAGTCATTCTTAGTATGGGCAAAATTGCACCCCTGTGTAGTTTCAGTTTGTGTTTTCATGATGACCACTGTTGAACACCTTGTCATATGATTGTTCCCATTCAGACACCCTTGCAAAGTATCTATTCAAGTTTTTACCACTACTACATTTTAGTTTTCTTTCTGCGTTTCATATACAGATTCTTTGTCACATATTATGAGTCTTTCCTTCCACCCTTTGTTTTTGCCCTTTCATTTTCTTAGTTGAATATTTTCATAAGCAGACCTTTTGATAAAGGTCTGTTTACCAAGTTTTTATTTTATGTTTAGTGCTTTTAAAAGAGGTCTTTCTTAGAATTCTCTGCCTACCCCAGGCTCAGGAAAACCTTTTTTGTTTTCTTCTAGAAGCTTTATTGTTTTTACTCTTAAATTTAATTTATGAGGAGATACTTATTTTAATGCAGCCACAGGAATACCATAAGGATTGGATTTAAATCTAAATATCCCAGAAGGATACCTGCCTGAAGAGAAAATATTGCTTCATATGAAAATAATCTTTTCTTCTTAGGCAATAATAATATCTAAGCAACAATAATAGCTATAACATAATGATGTTTCTTTTTTTTAGGACTTTAATCTTTGGAAGTAAATAAAACTGGTTTTGGAAGACAAGATGACTACAGCTGTAGAAAGAAAGTATCTTAATATTAGAAAAAGATTGGATCAACTGGGATACCGCCAGACTCTGACAGTAGAATGTTTACCTTTGGTAGAAAAACTTTTCAGGTAAAATACAGTTTCAAATCTATGTGATCCTTAATCCACTTATCTAGTTTCTGATTGAACTTCATGCCCAGCAAAAACAAAGGTAGTTTTTTGAAAATTCCTTTTATCACCTGAAGACACTCATCTCTTCTTCCTTGGCTCCAACTCCCCTGTCATTCCAGGGCTTCCACATGGCAGAGTCACCACACACACTGTACTGTTTGAAGTAAACATTTCTGAGGGTTTCCTCTGTCACTAGAATTATACTTGTTGAGATTTCTAATATAGTTGAGGAATACTTTTCTCTTAAGTCCTGTGTGTGCTTCACTGGTCTTTAGTTACCGTCATGTATTGCTTAGTGATAAGGATACATTCTGAGAAATATGTCATTTGGCAGTTTCATCATGACGGTAGGTAGCCAGGATGTCACTAGGCAATAGGATTTTTTTCAGCTTCGTTATAATCTTACATGATCAGTGTCCTATATGTGGTCTGTCACTGACAGAAGTGTCATCATATGGTGCATGACTTTTTAACCCTCTTTAGGAATATATTTTTAGTTATTAGAAAGTTAATAGGGCCGGGCATGGTGGTTCACGCCTGTATCCCAGCACTTTGGGAGGCCAAGATGGGAAGATTGCTTGAATCCAGGAGTTTGAGAACAGCTTAGGCAACATAGTGAGACCTCATCTCTATAAAAATAAAAAAATAAAATTAGCTGGGCATGGTAACATGTGTCTGTATTCCCAGCTACTCAGGAGGATGAGGTGGGAGGATCACTTGAGTTCAGGAGGTTGAGGCTGTGGTGAGCCAGGATGTGCCATGCACTGCAGCCTGGGCAACAGAGTGAGATCCTGTTTAAAAAAAAAAGTTAATGGAATGTCTCCCAGTATTTACATTTTCTGTTCTTTAATTTTAGTGACCTGGTTCACACAACAGAAAGCCTTCGACAATCAAAATTATCTACTGTGAAAGCTGAAAAAGAAAGTGCCAATTTTGATTTTGTTTTGGAACCCTATAAACTTGAAAATGCAAGATTGACTAAGGAAAATAATGAATTGTACCTAGAGTTAATGAAACTGAGAGAACACTCAGATCAACACATTAAAGGTAAACAAAAATTTGGTATTTTAAAAATGCAGTGTCTTTGCTGTTTTTGGTTTATAGGAAGAAAAGTTAAAGTCTGATTTTAAAATGGAAAATATGGTAGTCCTACAGCCAGGCACTGTGGCATGTGCCTGTAATCTCACCTACTTGGGAGGCTGCAGCAGGAGTATTGCTTAAGCACAGGAATTCAAGACCAGCCTTGGACAGTGTAGCGAGATCCTGTCTCCAAAATAAGGAAACTATAGTAGTCTTTCTGCTAACAGTTCCTGTAACGTAAGCTGTGTTAGGATGTGTTGAAGAGTTCCTGAGAAGGAAAATAAAAGTACATTCCTTAGCTATGATAGTCCTCACTATAATACTCTTACTATATATGGATTACATCTTTAGATTTAAGGTTGTTGTAGAGAGTATTAAATGCTGGAACTGAAGAAATGTTCTTGAAACAACTTTTGTTTTTCCCTTACTGAAAATAAAAGTGGTTAAATAAGGTAAAGCTGTGTATTTCTCTGTTTAATAGTCTTTAACTGGGAAGTAGAATAGGATGATTTCAAAGATACCAGGTAAAGGGTAAATATATTTTATTATGAGTTATTCTTATATTCAGTCTAATACCTGATATGAATTTATAATCCTCTATCTTCAAATTCAATTTACCTGATGGGCAGCCATGATGTACATTAGATTCATAGAGCAGCAGAAAAATATAAATTTCCTTTTGTGCTTAGTGAGTTATTTGCAGTTTTGTTAATAATGGTAGAAAGTAGAAAGGCTTCAAGCAAAGCATGAGTATGAATTGGCCTTTTAAACTGATGAGACTTTTTGTATTTGAAAATGGAAAAGCTTTATGGGTTTCCTGATCTTTAAAATGGCCTTTGAATCTTTTTTATTTTAAGAGTTGAAAACTACATTGAAGAAGTGTGCTCATGAAACAACTGATCTGAAATTTCTAAATAATCAGTATGTTCATAAACTCAAACTTTTGGAGAAAGAGAGCAAAGCTAAAAATGAAAAAATTCAACAGCTTCAAGAAAAGAATTTGCATGCTGTAGTACAGACTCCAGGTAAGTCTGTTTCTTCTCAGCAAATTATACATATTTAGTCTTTTAAAGATATTAAAACTATTGACTGAAACAGAACTTTGGATTTTTACACTTAGACGTTAGTGTTTGAAAAGATATAATGATAGGTGCAGTGGCTCACGCCTGGAATCCTAGCTTTGGGAAACTGAGATGGGAGGATTGCTTGAGGCCAGGAGTTCAAGACTAGCCTGGGCATCATAGTAAGACCCCATCTCTACAAAAAAAATTTGCTTAAGTTACCTGGGCTTGATGGTGTGCACCTTTACTCCTAGCTACTTGGGAGGATTGCTTGAGCCAGGAGTTTGAGACTGCAGTGAACTACTGTGTTCCAGCCTAGACAACAGAGCAAGACCCTGTCTCTAAAAAAATTTTTTAAAAAGAAGATATATTGGATAGTAGCGTAAACTTGATTTATTTCTGAAGATCTAAGTAGTGTTTTATACACGTGCTTAGAAACTTATGTAGTAATAGCTTCTTAGATGCAAATAGTCTTACTTCAGTGCCTAAGGGTTTATATCTCTAATCAATACTTTAAATTACTTTTTCTATTTTTGTTATCATTATTATTATTTTGGTTATAAAAGTGATCTGTGCTCATTAAAGAATTTGGAAATTATGTACTTCGTTTATTTTTATACTCTTAGAGTTATGCTTAGCAGTTCTAGAGCAAGAAAAAAGAAATTATGGCTCATATGCAGAGCTGGTGGTTGTTTAGCAGGTATAGGTTGGTGGAAGAATCTCTAGGGTTAGTGACAAGACCCTTGAGATATCTGAACCATGGGATCAAGATTATGGAAGTAAGTGAGGTGTAGGAGCCTGCAGATGATGAGACTAGATCAAGACAGAAGAGTTAAAGATAAGCACAGTGAGGACCTGAAGTAACTTGGTTGGAATGAAGGTTGCAGTCAGAAGGGAATTTTGGAGTTGAAGATCTGGAAGCCACCAGGGTTCTGAGTGATGACAGAGCCCCAAGCATGGCCATGTCACCCTGTGCCTGAAGCTACATGGAGAGGTCACCCACAAGAGTGGGAGGATCAGAACTGTGAGACCAGGTGGGGGGGAATCCGCAGAGCTCGAGATGGCTAGGAAATGAGATGCAGACAGGGATGGGAGCCAAAGGCAGAAAAGACAGAGAAAAGTAAAGGCGAAAGGGAGGATAATCCAGTTTCCTGAGGAAAGAACAAGACTGGTTCAAGATGTGTAATGAACAGCATTTGGTGACTTAAATGTAGATTTGGGAAGTAGAGGAATTTCCAGATCCCTGTTTCGAGTGAATGAGCAGGTGGAGGCTGGTGCTGTTTCTTAAGTTAGAGGAGGTAAGGAGCAGAGTAGGAGCTGACTTTTGGATTTGCTGACTGAGTGTTGATACTCTCAGGACATTCTCCATGGCAGTTTTGGTAAGCAGCGGATATGTAACTCCGCTCTCAGAGGTGTTCTCAGGCAGAGGTTCAGATGTGAGAGCCATTGGAGTGTCGTGGGAGTTGAAGTGTGAATGTGGGAGGGATTGCCAGTGAGATTATGTAGCCTGGGCAGCGAGGAGAATCCAGGGGCTGGTGGAAGAAGCTGAGGAACCTCCAAGGAGCAAACCAGGAGGTAAAGAAGGAGCGGTTAGACTTACTCGGGTATGTGACTTCAGGTAGGTTGCTTAAGTACTCTTGGCTGAGTCTCCTCAACCTTAAGACTAGAGATAATTTGTTAGAATTCATCAGAAGACAAAACTAGATTGTGCTTGTTCTTCATGAGGATCGATTCATTTTTCGAGTCCACTTCTAATCTTGGCCAGATCCTTAAAGAGGTAAATTATCTGTGAGCTTTAAACCAAGACAAAAAATTTACTCCATAGAAAATTTGCTGCTTGTAAAGGTAACTCAGAAAACATTCCCTCTTAATTCAGGTTATGACATGACTTTATATGACAGATGACATTCTATTGTATTCTAATTTTGCTACTTAAAATTTTAGTAATCTGTTCTTTTGACATTACTTAATAAGCATGTGTGTTTTAGTTCTCACAGCCTTAAGCTTCTTGTTTGACAGTTTTCTGCTAGTGATGATTTCTTGAATTTATAATAACGAACAGCACAAAGCACGTTCAGCTTTTAATCTTGCCAAAGTCTCATCCCCATCTAGTGGAGGAAGAATTTAAAGCTGGGCATATATGCCAAGCATGCAAATGTAAAATTTTTTTTATATCTATATATTCTTGAGGTTTTAGAAATGCATTATTTAAAGATCAGGGTGGGTATTTACATATGCAAATACATATGCAAGGGTAAATATTTTATCAATATGTAATGTGAAGTAGAGATACACTTTGTAACCAAAAGGCTAACCTGAAATATTTTTCTCTAAGACATTGTTTCCTTTTGTTTCTTTTCAAATTTTTAAGCCATTTGCTTGTCTTTTTAGGTGGCAAGAAAAGAAGCATTGCTTTCCGGCGTCAGCGTATGCAAATTGATGAACCAGTCCCTCCCTCTGAAGTTAGCTCCTATCCAGTCCCACAGCCTGAGGACCCTTACATTGCAGACCTCCTGCAGGTGGCTGACAACAGGTGCATTCAGTAATCTTTGCTGGCTTGAGTTCATTAGTCACTTGGTTAGCTATGAGTCTTCTTTTTCTTTCTTCTTTTGTTTGACATGTTCAATTTTATGAACAAGTTCCCAAGAGCTGAAAAATAGCGACAAGTTTTTTGATAGGGCTTTTTCTTGTTAGCTGTTGTGCCTCCAGTGTCTAGCACAGAACTTTGCACGGGCACTCGATAAATACTTTCTAAATGATAGAGAATATTTTTACTTGTTTTGAAACTTTGATCAAGTGGCTCGTCTGAGGTTTCTGTTTATACTTGCATTAAAAATAATTTAGAAGCTGGGCTCAGTGCTTCAGCCTGTAAAAACCCGCGCTTTGGTAGGCTGAGGTGAGTGGATTGCCTGAGCCCGCGGGTTCAAGACCCGCCTGGGCAACTAGGTGAGACCTCATCTCTACAATAAATCAAAAAATTAGCCGAGCGTGGTAGCACGCGCCTGTAGTTCCAGCTACTTGGAAGGCTGAGGCAGAAGGATCACCGGAGCCCGGCAGGTTGAGGCTGCGGTGGCCAGGAGTGTGCCACTGCACTCGAGTCTGGACAAGCGAGTGAGACTCCAACTCAAAAAAAAAAAAATTTAGTGCCATCAAGAACATATTTCGGTAGAGTTGCTTTGACATTTAGTTTCATCTCCAAGTAAGAGTTATCTTTTGTGGAAATCTTTATTACTTCAGATTTATGTCAAATGCCAGCTGAACATGAATAGATTTAAAAATCTTGTTTCATGATTTGAAATTCTTGTTTCTGGATTCTGGATTTAGAATTCTTGTTTCATGACTTCCCTGGCTCTATGTTTATATTTCTTTAAATTAGAATCAGATATAAATTCCATTTAGTTGCAACTTCATTAAGCCTCCTGGGCAAGGCACCATAGAGGTGCTCTGAGGATATAAAGATGACTAAGATCATGTTGCTGCTTCCTAGATACTTGCAACCCAGTATTGGAGATGAGAAACGAGAAATACCACAAGGCCATTGAGAAAATTATAAGGGCTTCAAAGGTGTGAGTGAGCGCTGGTGACCGACCATCTCTATGATGATAACTGGGAAGCACTGCGAACCCTGGAATGCACTGGTGGAAATAGTGAATTCAGATTACTGTTTATTTTGTAGATTATGCAGAGAATATAACAATCTAAAAAAGAACGTAGGTTGAGGTACTGATTAGGATCTTTTTACTTGGTTATTGTCGTACAGTATTACATACCGTACTTACATGGTTTGGCTATCTGACCTTACCGTGAAGTATTTTGTGTTTTGTTCTTCTGTTAAAGTTATAATCAGCTGGGCATGGTGGCTCATGCCTGTAATCCCAGCACTTTGGGAGACAGAAGCAAGAGGATTGCTTGAGCTCGGGAATTGGAGACCAGCCTGAGCAACATGGCAAGAACTCATCTCTATAATAAATTAAAAAATCAGCTGGGCATGGTGGCACATGCCTGTGGTTCCAGCTACTTGGAAGGCTGAGGCAGAAGGATTGCCTGAACCCAGCAGGTCAAGGCTGCAGTGACTGGGAGTGTGCCACTGCACTCCAGCCTGGATGACAGAGTGAGACTCCAACTCAAAAAAAAAGTTACAACCTAGGGCTTGTCAGACAAGATGTTAGTATTATTTAAGGGATTATTTGGGTTGCATAGGTGACATCAGTCTCTTTTGTCTTGTTTTGTTTGTATTTCCCTTTTTGTTTGTATTCAGAGCCATTCATGCACTTAAATGAGTGCAGTTGCATATATACTCTTCTCCTAAGCCTAGATTAGAGAGAACTTTGGTTCCAACAACAGCAGGTGCAAGCTGTGTCCAGCCTCATTTATTCCACCTCATGGACAGTCTCTCTTAAAAGCATACCTGACTTCAGGTTTTATCTTTCCAGTATGAAAGTGGATTTTGTCATATTGATGTAGTTCAAATATATTTGGGTACTTGTAGAATTCACATGATATGGACAAAATCTTGATTCTGTTAGAATTAACACATTCTAGAAGGAATAGTGTTTTTGCTGTAGTTATTTGGAAAATTGCATGATTTCTCCATATTTTCCTTCTCTCTAGGGTTGCAAAGTAGTTTATTAAACAGCACAGGGTTAGTTAGGGTCAGAAAACATAGATTCTTATTTCACTTAATAATGTTGTGAATTTTGGACTAGGCTCTCTGTTTTCTGATCTTAAGAATTGGCAGCAGTACCTCAGAGAATTATCCTAAAGATCAAAATGCAATAGTGAGGTGTTTTATTGCATAATGTACTTGAATTTCAGATTATTTACCATTCAATTTTTTTATCTGTTCTTTTTTTTTTTTTTGAATTGGAGTCTCACTCTGTTGCCCAGACTGGAGTGCAGTGGGCCACCACAGCCTCGACCTGCTGGGCTCTGGCGATCCTTCCGCCTCAGCCCTCTAAGTAGCAGGAACTACAGGCGCACACTACCACACCTGGCTAATTTTTTGATTTATTGTAGAGATGAGGTCTCACCAAGTTGCCCAGGCGGGTCTCGAACCCGTGGGCTCAGGCAATCCACTCACCTCAGCCTCCCAAGGTGCGGGATTACAGGCTGAGCCACCGAGCCCGGCTTTATCTGTTCTTTTAAATTAACTTTCTATGATGATGCACTATCTTTTATGTTGATTTTGGAATTCTTTGGCACAGTACCTCTTACCTCATTCATAAGCAGAAAGTGTAGAATTTACAAAAGACCCCACATAGTTTCATTTCTTGTTATTTTGTATTTCTTAACAAAAGCATATTAGCCTTAGTTCCAAATGTGTTTCAGGATTCAAGAGCTTCAACAGGAAGTCCACCATCTACAAGAAAAGTTAGCAGCCATGGAAAGTGGAGTGAGAGATTATAGCAGGCAGGTAGGATTTTTATTTACTTGCATGGTAGGGATTGAGATGAGTTCACTGTGATCATAAATAGAATTGAGTTATAATTGATATTACTGGTACTGAGTTTGATAAAGCTTCTATCTTCCTCATCAGTTTGTTAGTAGAGTTACCAGCTGGAATGACTTGGGTGACTTTTGAGTACATAGTTTATTCCCTTCATCATTCATTGAGGTGAATAGTAGTTTTTTGTTTTATCATGACTGTTTTTCTTTTAGGTGATTAATTAATCATAATAGATGATATCCCCAAATATAACTTTATAGCCATATCACTGTTTCCATCTCAGGAGGTATTTTATTGAAGAATGCTATGTTTTATAATTGTATTTTTGTGACTTGCTTCAACTCTTATGATAGATTTTGTCATTTCAAACAAGTTACTCTTCTGTGTTACCATATTTTTGTGTGTTTTCTCTGTAATCACTAGTACCTCATAAAATGTTTTCTGAAGAAGGGGAATCATTGACACAAAAGTATATCATAACCATAGCAAGCTTTGACCTTTCATACTTTCTGTTGGTGCTTGGTTAAATTCTGATTTGGGTAATCTTAACAGGCTTTCTTTCTTAATATGCTTCCTGGAGTTTAAATTGGGTAACATATTTTTTGTTTTCTGCCCGACTGCATTTTTTTTTGAAGTGATCTACATATACAAATAAATAAACACATAATGTGTTGATGTAACTATTATGTTTATGAAGTACTTTGAAAATTATTTGAATGAAAATGGAGTTAAAAGAAAAGAAATCATAATAATGGCAGCCAAAAAACTTACTTTATGATGAGATGTTGAATATGTCTCATATGCATGTGAATTGGATGTTATGGGCATTTTTCAGTTTATAATCACACTTTCATCACATTTATTCTAAGTACTTTATGAACATCCCTGGCCAGTGTTTACTATCTCTGTGAGGTGGCTGAGGTGTTTGGAGAAAACAGCCTAATCATTCTGATTGAAATCACCAGTTTCTTGTGATTATCAATCTTAGTTGAGCCTATTCTGCTGCCTATCAGTTATTATTATTTTTCTTGCACTTATTCTGTTTTTCTCAGCACATCTTTTAAGCTTTGCTGTTTTCAAGCTCTCATCTCAATCTGTAACACCCCTCTTCCCAGATGTTACCTGGTCTCAACTTTCTATCACTGCCTTTAAGATGAGCAGTATGTACACTCAGGTTCTCTGAAGACTGAATGGGCAGGGTGTTGCTCTTCCTAGATAAGGCTGCACTCTTGGCCCCATTTCCTCTCTTCCTGGGGCCTTGCTTTAATCAGTTACTCTTTTTCTTTAACAAACATTTATGTAACCACTTTATAACAATCAATTAACTTAATCTTTATGACAATCCTGTGAGGGAGGAGGTACTGTTACTGTCATAACTAACCTACTAAAAATCTCTTTTAACTACCTCTCCCTTTTTTCTTTGCTTTCTCCTTTTCCCTCATGCAAACTTCTCCAGAGCAGCTTACCTGCTTGTCTCCATTTCTGTCTCTGCTTCTCCTCCTCCTGCTCACTCCGTAACCTACTGCAGTCTGACTTTTACCCCTACTGCATGAGTTGGTCCAGTCAGTGGCACCAGGGACGTAAATTGCTAGATCCGAAAGGATGCCTGTTGTCTTTGTTTTCTTGATCCACTCTGTGGTCTTTGACATTGTTGATCATTTCTTTTTGAAATGCTTCTGTGACTTCATTTTCTTCCAGTTTCTCTTTTTTATAAAAGTCTCCTATTATTTACTTTTTGCTTTTTTTCATGTGCACCCTGGAATATTACTGTTTTCCTGGATTCTGTCTTTGATCCCTTCTCTCTGTGTCTTTTCTCAAGTGTTCACATCTGCTCTCTTGGTTTAAAAGATTGTGACTGTATGTGTGTGTGTGTGGGTGTGGGGTGTGGGGGGGTGCGTATAGGCGGATGTGTGTGTGTGTGTGTGTGTGTGTGTGTGTGTGTGTGTGTGTGTGTGTGTGTGTGTGTCTGTGTCAGGGTCTCACTCTAGGCTCAAGCAATCCTCCCGCCTCAGCCTTCCAAGTATCTGGGACTACGTGCCATCATCCTGGCTAATTTTTCTGACTTTTTGTAGAGACAAAGTCTTGCTATGTTGCCCAGGTAGTCTTGAACTCCTGGACTTAAGCCATCCTCCTATGTCAGCCTCCCAAAGTGCTGCGATGACGAGCCTGAGCCATCATGCCCTGCCAGAATATTGTCTGTATGTTGATGACTCCTTGATCTTTCTCCGACTCAACCTCTCTTCTGAGCCCCAGACCCATATACCCAACTTCACACTGGGCATTTCACTTGGATGTAGTCTTTGTGTACTCAGATGTCTAGCGCTGAACTTGTCTTCTGGTGTCAACTCCTGTATTGTCTACTTTAGTTGATACTTTAGTTGATAAGCACCGTTTTCCCAAGTTCACATTCTATAGTCTTTCTAGATTTCATTCTCTTGCCTTCACAGACCACTCACCAAGTTCTGTCAGTTCTCCTGCCTGTATCTTCTGTTTGTTTTTTTTGTGGGGTGCAACTCAGGCAGGGTCAGGTATACATTGTTCATTATGCAGGTACCCTTGTTGATAAGGTGTACCAACCCCCCCCCACGCCTGCATCTTCTTAAACTAGCTTTTTCTTTTCTGTCCTATACCAGTTTTAGCCATTCATTGTCTCCTCTATGTTCCTGCCTTCGGTCTCCTTGCATCTGGCTTTACTCCTGTCAAAATCATCCTTTAGTCCAGAGTCATCATAATTAGTTCTTGCTCATTCTTCAGACTCATCTCCAACTACTAATTCCCTTGCACATCACAGTTCAGTCACACTGAGCCATTTTTACTGCCTCAAATCGACCATGTGGCTTATGCTTTTGTGTACTGCCTGGAACACCCTTCTTTTCTTCTCTTTAGAGTATTTTTTATAACCTTTGTGAACATACTTATTTGATAAGGCCTTCTCTAATTTCCACAGGCACAAACATACCATGCAGAACACATCACTTCATTTCCTTGACGACTTGGGTGCCATGTGTCTATTTCTTTTCTTCTGTCATTGAATACCATATTATGTAGCAATTATTGGTTGACGTGCTAGTTTTCCCAATAAAACTGTGACTTCCTGAAAGTCAAGGATCATGTTTTATTTCTCTTCATGTACCTACTTCTGTGCTCAGTAATTGTTTGGTGAATTGAATGTCTGGTTTTTGTTTTCAATATTTTTTGAAGAGGAAAACCCAAAACTTGAAAGTGTAGGTTTTTCAAATTCTTGCATGTGAATTAGTTTCAATTCATGATTAATGGTGATCTTTTTGATTACACATCTGTTTCCTAAGTAGTAGATGATTAACTAAATTCACCCCACTTTCCTATCCTTTTTAATATTGAAGTTCCGTAGTAACTCACTTTTCTTAGCGTGTTACATTCATTCATTTATTCTACCAGGCGCTAAAGTAGTTCAGGCTCAGTTCTAGTACTGAAGCTTACAAGTTTTGTTTTTGTTTTTCTTGAGTTGGAGTCTTACTCTTTTGCCCAGGTTACAGTACAGTGGCACGATCATGGCTACTGCAGCCTCGACCTGCTGGACTCGGCAGTCTTTCCACCTTAGCCTTCAAAGTGTCTGGGGCTGCAGGTGTGTGTCACCATGCTTGGCTAATTTTTTTGTTTATTGTAGAGACGAGGTCTCAACATGTTGCCCAGGCTGGTCTCAAACCACTAGGATCTGGCAATCCGCTCACTTCCATTGTCCAAAGTGTTGGGATTACAGGCACCAATCACTGTGCCTGGCTCAAGTTTCTTTTTATATAAACATTGCTTAATCTTAGCAGAAGAAAAAAAATTAAATTAGGAAGCATCTATTCAATAAAAATATTCAGGAAAGCAATATTGACAGCACTAATGTTGACATTTTCTGTGTTATTTATTTTTGCTCTACATAGATGCATATGGATATGTGTGTGACCAAAAATATGAATGTTAACCTCTTGTATATATTGTGGGGCATAAGTAAAATTGTCCAAATAAATGTGTGTCCAGTGTTAATCCTTTGGCTCAAAATCAGATTTTAAAGAAATGACAGCAGGACTTTATGTCTTCAGATTGAGCTAAGAGAACGAGAGATAGAACGACTGTCGGTTGCTTTGGATGGTGGTCGCGCCCCTGATGTCATCTCTCTGGAGTCCAGGAATAAAAACAATGAAAAGCTCATCGCTCAGTTAAATATTCAGGTAATGACTTGAAGAATTATTGCTCTAAGTGTATGAAATTTTAAGTGTTTGTAATGGTCTATAGGGCTTGTAAAAGGACAGAGATTGTTCACTAAGCTATCATTTACAGTGGGAAAAACTTGATAGTGTCAGAGTATTCAGAAATAGGCTGCAGCTCTTGAAACATCGTGGTTTTTTGATTTTTGGTTTTTTTTTAAGTCAGAGTCTCACTCTGTTGCCCAGGCTGGAATGCAGTGGCATGCTCATGGCTACCACAGCCTCACTTTGCTGGGCTCAGGCAATCCTTCTGCCTCAGCCTTCCAGGTAGCTGGAACTACAGGTGTGTACTACCACGCCCAGCTAATTTTTTATAATTGGTTGTAGAGATGAGGTCTCACCATGTTGCTCAGGCTGGTTTGAACCCCTGAGCTCTGGCAGTCCTCTCACCTCAGCCTCTCAAAGTGCTGGGATTATAGACATGAGCCACTGCACCTGGCTGAAACATGATGTTTTTTTTGTTTGTTTGTTTGCTTGTTTTGAGTCAGAATCTCACTCTGTCACCAGGCTGGAGTAGTACGCTGCTCATGGTTACCGCAGCCTCGACCTGCTGGGCTCAGGCGATCCTTCTGCCTCTGTCTTCCAAGTAGCTGGAACTACAGGTGTATGCCACCTCGCCCAGCTAATTTTTAATTTTCTGTAGAGACAAGATCTTGCCATGCTGCCCAGGTTGGTCTCGAACCTGTGGGCTCAGGCAGTCCTCTCTCCTCCACCTCCCAAAGTGCTGGGATTATAGGCGTGAGCCACCATACCCGGCTGAAACATTGTGTTTTTAAAGAATATTTAATAGCCAGGCTCGGTGGCTCAGCCTGTAATTCCGCGCCTTTGGGAGGCTAAGGTGAGTGGATTGCCTGAACCCGCGGGTTCGAGACCCGCC